AAAAAAAAAAAAAAAAAAAAAAAAAGAATAAAATACTGTTCGCAGCTTAATACCCAGAGGCAGAATCCAGCTGCTGAATGGCTGCTGCACACACCACACAGTTTCTGTATCGCTGCTCTGTGCCCTCTGCCTCTCACTGAGGAACCAGCCCATGATTAGAGTCCAAGGAAAGGTCTCACACTGCCACATACCACCTGGTCTGTGTGCTTAAGCAAATACATTTCACAAGGGCTACGACCCTATTATTCAGTGCTTGCACAACACAGAGCTGCTGTGTGAATTATCAGTGTGCCAAGCTACCCTAAAGAATTATTAGATGTATTTGTGTACATCAAGTCTTCATTTTCCAGAACAAAGCAGGAGGGGAAGGGCTGGCATGCACAAGAGGAAAAGCACTGAGTGCCAACATGCTGTTTCATGAGTAGTTATACACTCCATACCGAGAAGGGTGGAAGGGAGGCCACCTTGTTAAACACCTGCTCTGCGGAGATCAAACCGAGTAGAGGAATCTGAGCTCAGATAAGGTGGAATCTTTCCTTCCATTTTGATGGACACTCTTACTAGTGTCTTCGGGTCCTATCTGAGCTCTCACTGTTCGCTGTTCCTAGCACAGTTGATAAGCAATGCTTACAGAACTTGAAAGAAGATGGACAGAATTCAAAATGAGGTGATTTTCCAAAATTAGTAGGGAGCCACAGAGTGGCTTGGTTCTGAAAGTCATTCATTGGATACTTGGGCATGTTTCACTCATGAACAGTGTCACAAGGGTAGACACCATGCACAGCTGACCTTGAAATCCCGTGTGCTCTTGCCTTACTGTTGTTCTCCCACAGCCCCAGGCCCCCCAGTGAGGCTGGTCTTCCCTGAAGTGCGGCTCACCTCAGTGCGGATCGTGTGGCAGCCCCCAGAGGAGCCCAATGGCGTGATTCTAGGTAAGGACCAGAAGGGACAGAAGCAGAAAATCACACTTGGATGCCTTCTACTGCTTCTACTAGGAAGTATGGGGATAAAAGCAGATCTTTGCACTAGGATGGGATGAAATCTACATTTTATTAATCCAGGATTTCTTCCATTTGTTCATGGTTCATTGCAACACCTTTGTAATGGGCCTGTGTCCACCATGCATCTAGGAAGGAGCAGCCCAGTTTCTCATAGATGACACAGACCTGGGCTCTGTTCCTGAGCTCCTGGGAATAGTGCTGTCCTGCTATGAGTGCTGCACCTGATCCTGTCAAGGAGCTGCTGGGCCCAAGACCACATTCACACCTAAGTTTTTACTTAGAGAAACAACTCTGATAACATTGATGAAAAGCTTTCATTTTTCCCACCTCCCGAAAGATAGCATATTATATGTTAAAATATCATCAATGTTTTTATTTACCCTTTCACCAAGGTGAATGGAGGACTGTGTGTGTCAGGCATTGTATGCATAGTGGGAAATAGGAATGAGTAAGACCTTCCCATCCTTGCCCATGGCCCGTCAGGCAATGACACAGCCACAAGCCTGCTCACTGCACACCCCACAAGTTGTTCATGGGATGAAGGTCTCAGTGGCAGGATCTTGAGGCAGAAGTCTGCTTTTGAGCTGGGTCCTGAGGGGAAGTGGCTTCTGCAGGCCTGGGGGAAGGGAGGAGCCTGTGTACAGTCACAGGCTATGCCTGGGCTGCTGCGCCATGCCAGAACCTGCAGTGAGGGGTGGCCAGGTTAAAGTGGATGCTTAAGGGTACAGAGTACTGCTGCAGACCTAGGTCGGCACTCAGATTAGGTGACATTTACCTAATTTGGACCCTGGAGATCCTCACTCAGGTAGTGTATGTTTTAGATGATTTCTGGTAAAATCATAAATCTGACCTTGCAAACAAATCACCATTTTTACTTGCTTTTCATGTTGGAGTCTAGGATGTGGTTTAAAGAATGTGTTTTATTTTAGAAAAAAAAAAAAAAAAAAGGTTGAAGCCCTGTGCCATGGAGCACAGTAGGGAGCCATCTGAGAACTCCGGGCAGCAAAATGACAAGGTCAAGTTTGTCTCTGGGTAACAACTTTGGCAGCCAAGAGAAGGTGGCCTGAAAGGCAGATGTTTATGGAGCACTTGCTTCATTAACATTGGGTCCACATTCATTAAGTTGGGTCAAGCGTACTGTCTCCCACACAGGAAGGCTGTGGCCTCTTTTCCCTGTAACCTTCCTCTGGGAATCTTGGAACTTCCTGGTAGAATTTGTCATAAATATGGCATTTCTGACTTGAAGAACCTTTATACTCATGAGTTCTTGCTGCCCAAATCACAGTGAGCAGCCATAGACGTCCCTGCTGGAGGGAGCATTTCAGGGAGCAGTGGCCAGGCATGGGAACCAGTCCTCAACATGGTACCTTGCAGCCCTCTTGAACAAGTAGGCTTGAGCATCTGAGTATCCAGGAATCATTGCCCAGCACACCATGGTGAAATGGGAGACAGCTCTAGAGGTGGAGAATGTGGACTTTTGATCTGTCCCAGATCTGGAGTCCCCAGAGCCATTTTCTGGGAAGAAGCAGCCCTTGGAACCTCCTAGCCACTCCTCATTCTCTGGCCAACTCCATGCATGTGTTGCAGCCACGCTGCTCCACGAGGTCAGCTGTGGCTGTGTGGCAGGCGTGCATCCAGCTGCACTGCCATGAGAGGATTCTGTGTTCTGAGCTCAGTCATGACTTGGAACCGCCCACCCAGGCCCTTGCTAGAAAGATGGGCAGCTCTGGCCTGGACCAGTTCTGCCTGTAGAGACCTCTTCTCCAGCACCCTGCTCCTCCTGGGACACACATGGCAGATGTCCTCATGCTCCACTTCCTGTGGCTCTAATTGATACCACAGACTGGGTGATTTATGAAAAATCAAGGTTTATTGAGCTCAGGTTCAGAGTGCTCTATAATCAGGAAAACAAATGTTAGAGACATCCTGAAAAGTAAATGACAAGATATAAAAATGAACTCAGTCCCATTTGGGCAGTGAGACTGGATCCAAAGGGCTTCTGACTTCTGGTTCAAGAGAAATTATGGAACATTAAACACAATATTAAAGCTGGATCTATAAAAATGAAGGTTTGCTCTGACTCTGGGGGCCAGGAGGTACAAAGTGGAAGGGACTATTGGGTGAGAGACTTTTGCCATGGGAAATCTGAGGAATTCCAGGGGAGCATGGGACATCAAATTTGAGGTGCATGTGCAAGAGTGCCAAATGGGCCTTGTTTTGTTTTGAGACAGTGTCTCACTCAGTTGCCCAGGCTGGGCTTGAATCTGTAATCTTTTTGCCTCAGCCTCCTAGCATGTTGGTATTCCAAGCATTTATCATCACATGCAACTGAAGTAGCTTTTATGATAGACCTCACTCTCCCAATAAGCCATTGATCTCTGAATGAATTTCCCATTTATAACAGCAGGGCCCTCATCTGAAAAAGCCCCGCCTGCTTCCGCTTCTTCATACTTCCCTGAGGGGGTGGGCTTTCAGCCTGAGCTCTGTCGGGTGAGTGTCCTCTGGGCTACAGACTCAAACACCCCTCGCTCAGCATGTGCCTCTCTGGCTGGCGCCTGTCCCACTGCCCCCCAGAGAGCGCATGATGCTCTTCTCAGCACAGCACAAGTCCCCCAGTCTACATGGAACTCAGCTTACTTTAAAATTATTGAGAGTCCTTCCTGGTCCTCATTGTGGTCTGGGGAGTTTATATTTGTAATCCCATGGGGGAAAAAATGGAATTCTAGCAAGTTAATTCCAGTCTACCACTACTAATGTGGCACATGGCAAGAATAAGGACATTAGGCATAGAGTTGTGGGGAGCCAGGTAGGGCAATGATGGCTAACCAGAACAAAAGCCTCTATCCAGGGCCAAATCCAGGTTTTATTAATTTGTGAAGAAAGGAGTGGCTTGAGGATGAGTGACTGTGAGAGTGGCAGGAAGTACATGAGTGCTGTGAGCTGGGCCAGGTAGGAGGCCTGAAATCACCCCTGCGATATGCAGAGAGAAACATATGCAGAGAGTAATCCACATTACACAATTTGAGGTAGTATCTAATGTCTTGGGGTCAGGGCTGCAGCTCTAATGTGTAATCTTTTATGCCCTGGGAAGTCATAACCTCTTACCACAAGGCTTGATCCCAACAGACAGTGTGGGGCATGGCTCTCCCTCCTACCTAGCTCACACATGTTATTTGGGAGCTATGAGGTGGGGCAACACTGACCTGTGGCCTTACTTCAAAGACTACATATCAGCACCATGGCTAAACTGATTTGCATTGCTTGAAGCCAGCTGAAGGGTTACGGAAAAGTCCTAGCCGGCTCTGTACATACAGTACATGGAAATAGGGCCAGGCTTAGCCAAGATGGAGACAGTTGCTCTTCTTTCAGAGAGAGAGTCATCCAATTGGTCCTCCACATAAAATTTATCATTTACTTTTCAGGGTGCCTTTCGCATTCATTTTTTCTGATTCTGAAAGCACTCTGCAGTTAAATTTAGACAACAATGACACACCAGCCTACATTAATCAGAATAGTCTAATGACATCAAATAGTCCATGGGTTTGGGAGACCAGGACCCCAGACATCCTGGTCAGAATATGGCCTGTGTAGCCTCTGGAGAGCAGTGTGGACATATCTGGGGCAGGTGGTCACAGCCACACTGTCTGTTCCAGTCAGTGTCCACTCCTAGTCCATCTGCCCAAGACTCCTGCACACATACCCAGAGCTCTTCACTGCAGATTTGTTTAAAGGGCAAAGAAAAAAAGCAGCCATCGTCCTCTGCAGTTTGTGGGACATGGATCTGGGGCTACCTGCTTGTGTTTCTCCTGGGTTTTACATACTGCGTTATGCATGGGCCTGATGGGAGAGTGGGTAAGGATTCAGAATCAGCAGCCACACTGGGGTTCAGACCTCAGTCTTCAGTTCACTTGCTGAGTAAACATATGCAAGTTGTGTGGCATTCCTGTGCCTCAGTTTCCTGAGTCCTCAGAGAGGAATAACACTTGTGCTTCCCATCAGATTAAGTGGGCTGCACATACAGTATGCAGAACCATGCCTGCCACACAGCCAGCACTCAGTAAATGGCAGTGCATCACCTCAGACCAGAGCCCTTTGAACCAGGTGGGATCACTGAGCCCAGGGCTTGGTCCAGTTCTGGTATTTTGTTTGTGTGCCCCAGTGGTTTGTTGTGCTGATGTAGTCTCCATTGCTCTGGTTGCTGGAGCCAGGGATTCTTGCTGACAATAGAAGAAAATGTAGAAAGGCAATTTGGCCAACAAAATCATCCTGATGTGTGCTGCAGAAGCTCAAGTTTTGGTTTGTAGCCTATGCGGGGCATGGGGGGGGGTTCACTGGAAATCATAAAATTCCATATAAGGAAAATGTAGTACTTCAATACTTTGAGTACCCCAACTGTGGCAAAACAGATGCTAAATCAAACTTTGCTGGATCTACCTGTAATGCAGAAAGCATCCCATTTAATCCTGTTTTGTTGGAATAGCATTTAGCTGTAACAGATGTTGTTGGGGTAGCCTGTCACCAATATGTTACTACAGCCAGCACACCAAAGTGTATATGCTGCAGGAAAGACAGGAAAACAATTTCTAAAGACTCAGGTTGGTGTTCATAAGGGAGAAAAGAAACCATCTCTTCGCATGACTCATTTTACATCCAGAGGCCTTGAATCAATGTTCCCACCCCGGCAGCACAGTCTTCTGAGTGTATAAACACCTCTGTGCCTGGCACTTTTGTAATCTATATCAAAACATGTTCTTGCATTTCCAAAAAAGATTAACAGCATGAAACACTGGCAGGCGCCTGGAGGGAAAAACACTTGCTTATTTGCGTAAATATTTTACTATGGAGAGCTTTTAGTGTTTAGAGCCTTCCTTTGGGGCACTGCGGAGCCACCTGAGTGTGGTCATCCCTCCTCACTTGCCAGGCTGCTCCAC